TATATATATATATATACATGTATGCAAGTTCATGACGCCTGTATACTTAACTTGCATAGACTACCATTACATCGTAGTAGATTCACGGATTAACAGACTAACAGTAGCATTATATAGAACAGCAGGGAGAATAAATAGACTACGGCTACTGACTGGATACACGACTGCCGCAATGCGATAGAAATGTTTACTTCACCCACATAAAATGAAATTCTGCCTCACTTTACTTTAGTCAAAAGACGACGGCTACATTATAAATATATAAAACAATCTTATATATATGCACACAGAATACGAATTCAACAATTATTTACACCGCATGCGCCCCAGCCAGCACGCACGTGGGCGTATAGTGAGTAGAGTAGTGGATACGCGAACACGGATACAACTACAGTTTCTTGACGTGTTACCGAGTTTCCACTGTTCAAAAGATTCCATTTAAGCTGCCAGAAAACAATTATCGTGAAAGGAATTCACTAGGTAAGCTTGAAAATATCCATATTTCCCTGAATAATCACACAGCATACCATACCAGCATATCACAATCAATGCCACCCAAACTTAGGTATACAGTACTGTGACGTGGATGCAAGATTTACATATTGCGTCACGATTGCAGGACGAAAATTGCGCATGCGTGCAAGAGCGTGCGTGCGAGTGTGCGTGAATATATATTATATAATTATACATATATATATATATGCGTAATTATATATGAGTCCATAATAGAGACCATCTCTATTATGGACTCTTGATATATATATATATATATATATACCACTGTATCAGGTTTACAAGAATCAGCTATGCCTAGCGTCACTGTCCACTGGATATTGCTGGACTCGCTATTGATATCGCTAACAACGTTGAACTGTTAACATCGTTAACATGAATACAATCTATGAAAGTGCATCTGTGAATCTGTATTTTTGCATTGTGTGAGTGTTTCAATGCAGTGAATAATGTGGTAGAGCACTCTGTAACGCACTACATTCATGATAATTCCGCAGGATCAGCTGTTCGTTATTTAGTTCTAACGATAGTAAGTATTGTGGGGGAAAATATCACATCTATTATAAACAAACCTAGTTAGTAGCGCTAAACACTTGGCAGCGCACAGTAAATGTGAATTAACACCGGGCGGTCAACATAATTAACTATTGTAGTAGTCAATAGCAGGGAATGTACACCGGTCACTGGTTGAACGGCGGCATCGGAAGCGTGCGCGGTAACAACGAGTGTTAGCTCAAGTCTAAAGCATCTATTGGTCTTTAAGAAACCCGTTCTTACCGCACGAACCCGTATGAAAAACAACGTTCTTACCAACGTAGCTATTTAAAAAAAAACACCCATCAACGTTCAAACTGTAACAGTTCCACGCCGTATCTGCGGCTGCTGCTACAGGTAATTATGATTTCCGTATTTTCTCTCGCGCGGTAACTTACTTATTATTGTACTAGTATGTCACGCGACATAACGTAGATGTATCCGCAGGACGCATTAGTTCGTAACGTAGTCCAATACTTACGTGAGCTGTACGGTGACGGGAACCGGTAAGTGTCTGTCTGTACCGAATATATATTCATGTTATATGGAGTTGGTTGTACGAGTGTAAATTGTATGCGCGATGTATATAATGTAAGTCAGCGTTTCCACATCGTATCTGCGGCTGCTGCTATAGATTGAATTGAGACCGTGCAAATGGAACATCGCAAGAGCTAACCACACCCCAGCGAACAGCTACTGCACAATACAACACTATACAATACTAACACTCATGATGCGAACATCACAACGCCCGAAGAATAAGTCATACCATACAGATATTTCTTTCAGATTTTCAACTCGCATCAGCATATTTTTAACCGTTTTATCTGGTAAGAGTTTGATGATGCATCTATACTCCCCTTGTCGCTCTCTTTCATGTGAGGGAAAAAAACACAATGCAAATTGTTTTTTAAATTTAGACAAAATATCCATCTGAGATAGTTTGTGGCATAGTCAGTTGTTTGTCAATGCGACATTGTTTATTTACAGCTCACTCATACTTGCTAGTCGTACAATAATAACTCAAGCGGGGGAAGATTTTCAGCACCAGCTACGGCCATGCGTGCACACACCAGCGCCTGCACACATTACTCTCTAGTTACGATGCTCTTACTCTGACAGCTTAGCTTCACACACACACACACGCACGCACGCTTCTCTCTCTCTCTCTATTTATCTATCAGCTGCATCTGAAATACAATAATTCTTTCATCTCTACCGAAAAATCATTTCTCCCGAAATTAAGAATGAAAGAAATTATATATATATAACAAAACCAAGACCGAATGCGCCTTCACGTTGTATGATGGTGGCAATAAATCCACATAGGTAGGGCTAATGTTTTAATGTTCTCCGGTATTTAGTGCTTCTGATCCTTTAATTCCCAGTACTCAGTGCCTTCTGTCGATGTAGTATTGTTTTACGATCGCAGAGAGAGTGTTGTTGTACTTAAGATACTTGTTGGGTTTCATGTGAAACAACTTGGCGTTAGACACTCCCTTCCACAACTGACCCCAGATGTGATACGCATAGAAACCGCTTAGGTCTACGTTCGCCTTGTTCAATATGGTTCCGTTAGTATCGTGCCATATGCGAGGCGAAACTCGCACGAGTTCGGGGTTCTTTCGCAGCAGCACCGTCGGAACTTCACCCGAGTTGTACAGATGTCCAGCTTCGCGATAGTCCCGGTAGCCTTCCCTCCATAGTTCGAGGAACCTAGCACCAGGTCGCGCCACGATCGCGCCGGCGTTGACGAGCCCCCTCGTGACGTTATTTCCGGTCTCGATGCCGACGACGCAGTCGTAGCGCCGCAGCGCGTCCATCGGACGAACTACGAACACGTCCAAGTCGAAGTACATTCCGCCGTACTTGTGAAGGATGTCTATGCGGGCGACGTCGGCGATGTGGTGGATGTGGCCGAGCTTAAGGCCGTATACCTCCTCTACGAGAGGGTAGTACTCGTACTCCAGTATCGGAATGATGCGGAACAACTCGTCGAACCAGCGACCCGTCGGCCTCTTGTCGCCGTGAATGATCATACGATCCGGCCGAAGATTCTCGTATACGGATATCGGACCAAGAGTCCGCCAGAACGGCAGCACCGCGTCGTCGGGTCCCTGCATCCAGACATAGTGCACGACGTTTGGAACGACGAAGTCTCGGCTGCTGAGCGCCCTCTGTTTGTGCTCGGTGATGAATACTTGTTCGGGGAGTCCGAGCCAGCGTGATAGTCCTGACAAATTGACAACGAAGAAACGGTTCATTAATCGGCACCTTGTAGAATTGATTAATTGATTTACATTACATTTCTTTATATTGAATGAAGAATCAATCAAAAGTTCTCGAGTAAGAACAGTTAATCTATTTTTATTATCTTCGGCTGCGTGGAGGACTGAAGCTGAAGTCAAACTCTTGCCTTTTATGTCTATCTTACAACGCTCTAATTCATGTTAGCGCAGCCTCCGCGTCAGGGGACAGAGCACACGCGCGCACACGCGCATGCGCAGACGCAAACGCACGCACGCACGCACATAGGGCATCAAACCCAAACTATGACATATTATTGTCCGGGGATATGGTAACACGCACAGATCAGTTACACAGTATATATATATATATATATATATATACCATCACAGAGGTGCCATCACGAATCTATGTAAATTTCACTTACGTAAATAGATTCTAATAAATTAATTACGCTAATTGGTAAAACTTCATTACGCGTGAATATAGGCGCGCGCACACACACACACACACACACACACACACGCGCACACGCACACACACCCGCACACGAAGACACACACACACACGCGCGCGCGCGCGCACACGCACACGCACACACACCCGCACACGAACACCACACACACTGCTGCCGCGCGCGCCCACACACAGTACACACACCACCCACGCACCCACACACACACACATGCGCGCACACGCGCCACGCCACACCCACACCACACACACGCCTATATCTTTCCATAGATAAGGAGTAGTTCCGCGATTTTTCATTATTACCCAAGCACGCGGCCGGCGCCTGAGGCATACAGAAACCAGTTCTGGGCGTGTTCGGAGATCGCGAGCGCTCGGATGCGAAACGCTCGTGCAACGAACGCAGCGCCTCCTGCACGACACCCGAGCGCTCGCTTGTGCGCTCGCTTGTGCGCTCGCTCGCATCAAGACTGCGGCCCCATGGTCAGGGTTACTCAGCAGATTTTAATCGCGAGAGAACAAGTACTGTTACGAATTAGCAGTGATCGATTGATCCAATTGTTTAGGTAAATGAAGGAAATTGAGTGAAATTAAAGTTGAAATAGAGTTGCAAATTGCGGCAGAATGATTAGATCGCATTCGCCGATTTTTCGTCGCCTCTTGTAAACATCGCGCACTTAGCGAAAGAGGCGTGGTAGGAGGCCAGCGCTCGATGCGAACGGCTCGATGACGAACGCGGCCTCCTGACGACCAGCGAGCGCTCGCTGTGCGCTTACGGCTTGTGCGCTCGCTCGATCAAAGATGGCGGCTCCTGGAGGGTACTCAGCAGATTTTATCGCGACGGACAAGTACTGTTAACGATTAGCAGACGAATTGATTACAAATTGAATTTAGAAGTAAATGAATGACATGAAAGTTAAATAAGTTGAAATAGGATTGCAAATTGACTGTGGCAGAATGTGTTAGATTCGCATTCGCCAGATTTTTTCGTCGCATCTGTTGAAACAACCCCCCCCAGCTCGCCTGACGAACAGCTTTTGCAAACTTCGCGGGCGCAACGTTCGCTCGCGCTCGCTCGCGCGAGTGTCTGTTCCAGAAGGCGAACGCTAGCGAGCGCCTAGCGATTGCGTTCGCTCTCCTGAACACGCCTCAGCTTTTTCAAACTTGTCGCGCAACCGCCTCGCCGCGCTCGCTCGGCAGTGTCGTCAGAAGGCGAGCGCGCGCGAGCGCGGCGAGCGTTCGTCTCCTGACCGCTCAGGCTATGGTTACAGTAATGATTGCAGCGACTCTGCTCATTTTATTTCGCCTATTAAGCAAATGCTCACAACGCCGGCTTCTGCGTGTCTGTTCAACTTCAGTCAATCGGTATCAGTTTTTAGAGCCACACAGCTTTTATAGGCTGCGCTTAGCGTGCACACCAGGTAAAGTGCGAGGACCAGCGCGTTCCACAGAAGATTGGGATTTCAATAAAGAAGCCATGCTGAATAAACACAAATGTATTTATTACCAATGTCTTTAATGTTTCCTCTACTCTCTTTCCCCTAGGTATTGCGGATAATTACCTGTAATGCCGGCAATGCATCTCTGCACACACAGTTACCGCCACGCACGGCGACCACGCCGCCTTACACATTTACCTTTTACTAGACTCGCCGCATCGGCCAGTAGCCGCTGTTTGAGTGGGGTGGTGATTTCTCTATGCAGTTATATTACATAAAATAGCCACCCGCCAGCCAACATTTAACAGAATGTTTACCAGCCCGGCGGATTTACATTACAGTGTGCTGACATGCATGCCTGTCCCATATGCTCTCATACGTGACCCATGCACGCGATAGAACGCTGGTAAAACAGAGACTGGTAGGCTAACCCGTGCCTCGATACGTCGATGGACTCTCACTGCTTCACATGCATAGGTGTAGACTGCTACACCCAACCGCAGCAACAGTCGATCGTGGGCACATCCAGGCTTTTGTGGTTTGAAGTCTGAGAGCTATAAATGAACTCGGCTCAATGTTAGTAGTCAATTACGAGCATCCAATAAGTACGTGATGGGCACGTTGTTGCGTCCTTCGCTCCATTTTCGTCGGTGTCGAATTCCAATGCACGCAATTTTCTCGAGATAGGTGGCTTTACCATTCAAGTGTGCTGACATGATTGCTGTCCCATTTATCTCTCGTGTGACTCATGCACGGCTTAGAGAGATGGCATAATCAGAGACTCGCGATGCTGCATTACACGTGCTCGTAACGTAGGATGCGGACTCTCACTGCTTCAAATATGAGTAGACTGATCGAATGCACACTACAACGCATGAAAGTCGATCGTAGGCATTCAGGCTTTTTGTGGTTCTTGAGTCCTTGCGAGTATCAAATGGACTCGGCTAGAATGTTAGTAGTCAATTCACGAGGATCCTAATAAGTAACGTGATGGCCACAAGTGTGGTCTAGCTCCTTCTCGTAGGGTTGTCGTTCCTGCACGCATTTTCTCGAGATCGGTGTGTTTGGCTACGTTGTCTATCTGATCAAAGTGTTGTTCTACTTACGTACAGATTCAGAGATATTTCAGACAGTTGGCAAATTGCATACACCAGATGTTATAACGCTGCGTTGATGCCTATTATGCAGTAAATCGGCCTGAAATTTTGAACACTGTCGCAATGATAAACAAAGTCCATACATATGTGTTGCGTGCAATCTCGTCGACTGTAATAAGCCCTGTGGAAACCTGACCTGTGTATCTCATTGAAACTCTAGCGGGCACCCAATCACGCTGATACCTGTCCCGAAAATCTGGGTCCACTGTACTCATATGCTATTTGCAATGAATACATTACTATATTAGCGAATGTAAATCGGTGATTGTGCAATCGGCGATTATATAGCTGGCTACCCGCTCCCCCTCTCGCGCTTATAGTTACTCGTGATGCATGTACCCATCGAGTAACTACACCGAGAGGTGGGAGCAGTACCGTCTACAGATTACACGCACACATGTGTTCGCCTCCATGTTTGTAACCGGTATGGCCGCGGCACGGCCTTGTGGTATTTGCTATGTTTTGTCCAAGACGCGGCCTCTATACGGCTTGTGTGCTGCTGTGTGGACTTATTGTCTCCGTGCGGATTACGCTCGGCTATTGTGCGGGAAACTATTATGCGGAGCAACTGTGACACGCAGCACTCTAATTGCATTAGCTGTCGCGCAACCAGGCTCTCTGGAGGGGTATGCCCTTTCGTTATGCGGATTCCGTGCCTATTTAGAGAGTATTCCGTACGCGAGGTGCGGTATCGCGTACGCGCGATGCAGTAATAACGTATTCCGTACGCGAAATAATGATACTTACATCGGGGATATGGTGGCTTTTTGTCTGAACTTTCCTGCCCATTTTTTAATAAATGTTGGATCTATTTACCGCTAACTGGAAACGAGACTGTCCCCGCCGTAGGATCGCGAACACGCACGGAATCAATCGAATCCAGTCGCGTGTACCAGTCTAATGTTATGAATGTATCACAACTAAACACTGTCTATAATACCAGTCGTATGTTACGCTTCTCGACTGCGTTCTGCTACACTTTCGCGCGAGTAGGCCCCTAGGCGGCCGTTACGAGCAGGAGCCGGTATATCATTACGTTGTATACACCGGAACTTATGCCCCCTTGTCGTGGGTTGTTGCATTCTGGCGACGGATTTAGGCCTTGACGCCGCTTTTTTGTGTGTGAAGTGTTGAAAGAGGCCGCAAATAGTAATATACTACCAGGCGCGGATTTTTGATGGGGGGCCAACATCGCCCGTGCCGCCCCTTTTGAAACCAAAAAATAAATAAAACTTACATTATTAAAAAATTTAACAAAATTACACAAATTACCAAAATTAATTTTCTCATTTCAATGTGTAAATAAGGTTTTAAGAATGAGGTTCCAGTCAGAAATTGTGACATCATGACCTGTTTCATGTTTATACATAACTAATTCAAATTGTCAGTCATTCTTCTGAATTTCCTGCCAGAAGAAACATCTCAGAGTCATTACAAGAATTTGGATTTTAATTGTTAGAGATATATTCTGGCCTGCAACTGTTAATGTCTACATGTATGATAAACCGGATGCTTCATTCATGGGAAGAAGGTTACTAATTTTATTTGCTTCTGTAATGACAGACAGCCACATACTCATACTAATAACAAACATTCTTTCAAGTTTGAAAATATATTCGAGTGTATCAAGTATTTTTTTTTAAATTGCCATAATTTTCTCTACCTGCAATAGTTATTTATATGTGATGGTGCTTCTGTATACACATGATCATGTCGACTATATAAGGTTTTTAAAACATTTCAATGTATGTAATTTCTCGCCGGTACATTTTGCGGTCTGCCTCCCCCCCCCCGCCCCATACCGAAAGGCTGGTCACGCCACTGATCAAAATTTAACACATAATATGATTGCTGACATATGAGTTAAAATACCCTTACAGTATGCACCGACTTGCACCATTTTTAACGCTACAAGAGTGCAAAAACTCCCCCCAGGGGCGTGTACAGGGGGGGTCCAGTGGGTTCCGGACCCCCCGCTCGCGCAGACAAACGCTCTGACGGGGTCCTAATTTCAAATTTTTCCCCAGACACCCCCTTCGCGTGCTTCGTACGTAAATGGGTTCGGTTAGAGCTCCCCCCTTGTCTCAATTCCTGTACACGCCCCTGCGCTCTCACTCGGTTGTGTCTGCCACTCCGCTCTCTCACCGTATCGTATCCCCCACATTTTCACTAACGTATTGCAATTTTGTGCCCCCTCTTCTTGAATTCTTGATCCGCCCTGTACTACAGTTAGTAGCATCCCACAACCGCCAGCAGAACAGCGAAGCAATCAAATTCAACAGCAGATTTTGCGACTTCTGCATAAAGTCTGTACCTTTTTCTTCAATTATTTGCCTCACAAGCCATGACATTAAGGTGCTATTTATTGCTTACCTAATAAAATAGTGTGCATCGAATAAAGGTTAATAAATGTTGATGTATTGGACTAATTGGTTACTTGTTTGCTTATGTGTTTCGGGTGCTGGCTGACAGGTTAAATCAGTATTCAGATGGCCAGCCCCAAATTATGGAGTATTCAGATGCCAACTGAAAATTAGAGAGTATTCCGGATGCCAAAGGGGGGCATGGCCCCCGCTCTCCTCTGCAGCCTCTAAGTAGTAAAACAGCTACCAGTTCCCGCCCATACACACACACACACACACGCGCCACACGCACATACACCACTCACACACACACACACACACACAACACACACACAACATTATTAGCGTCACGCCGAAACACACCCCACTCTCAGATTCGCGAGCGAATCCATGTGGCAGTTATGATTAATTATTATTACGCTTATTAGTAAACTTTCATTAATCATTACGCGGTGAAATACAGGTATCTATTGGGTGTTAGCCGTGTTGCCTTATAGTGACGCTTACCCGCGGATCGTCAGTAGCGCAGTCAGGCAGCGCTGCTGTGTTCTCGCTGTGTTCGTGTTCGGCGACGCAGTTTTCGCTTTGCCTAACTGGTCGCTGTCGCAAGCGTTACTGAAATGTGACATCACGCTACACCGCAGCAGTACGCGAATGAGCATCCCGCCAACCACCCGCCGCTGACTTCCTAACCGTACTCATACTAAGTAATGCCGGTGCTCTTACACGCGATTTCGTCCCACCAACGCACGAAATATATGCGTGTGCGTGTAATTACAGTTTAGCTTCGATGCGGTGTGGATGAATACACGCTACACACGCCACAGCTGAATATGAAGAGAGTGTGATCACCAGATGCAGGTGAAGTCGCGGAGATTCTCACGTCATAATTTTCTACAGCGAGCATCGTCCGATAACCTGTAACATCGTAACAAATCTGCGCGTGTGTGCACGGATGAGGACTCAGACGAGGCGCATGGTGATGCACCCCTAAACTATAACAATACTGTTATAGTTTAGTGTGATGCACGCGCGCAACTTCTGATGGGATTTATGGCCAGTATCTCGTTATAGAGCCGGACGTCTCGCATCGGTGCCAGCGCGAGTCTCACAGGTTGATGCGTGCGCATGCGCACAACGCATCTACTCGCGTCTGCTTTCGTGGTCTGCTGCCGCTCCTACGTTACGACTGTTTGCCGACCCACGGATCTTATCGAGAATCAAAAGATAACTAGCATCACTATTAGTTCATGACAACTACATCTTCCTTTAAAAGACTAGCTAGAGAGAGAGAGAGAGAGAGAGAGCGAGAGAGAGAGAGCGAGAGAGAGAGAGAGAGAGCGAGAGCGAGAGAGAGAGAGAGCGAGAGAGAGATAGAGAGAGAAATAGAGAGAGAAAGGCAGGCGGCGCGCGAGTGTGACGCATCGGCGTGACGTGCGTTGGGCAGTCAGGGTTTGGATTTGACTAGACAGGCATCTAGTATCGTATTATCCATGTGTGTATGTAGAATAAAACCACTTTATAATTTTATACATCATACGTGACTTTTTGGATCATACTGTGATTGCTGATTGTACGAAAGACGCAATTTTCCCATCATTACAATATTATATGTTCTTTATACTATAACTTGTTTTCTTTAATCCTATCATTAGTACACATGTTGTTTTTGATCAGTGTATTTAGAGTGCATACCAAAATTATGTCATGTTCTTCCTACCAAATCTATTTTCCTTAATGGGATCGTCTTTATACATATATAACTATTGATTATATAACATCTCGTTATAATCGGTTGACTAGCTTTCGGCAGTGACACGTCGTAGGATCATTCATATATATATATATATATATAATATATATATATTATATATATACCACTGTATCAGGTTTACAAGAATCAGCTATGCCTAGCGTCACTGTCCACTGGATATTGCTGGACTCGCTATTGATATCGCTAACAAACGTTGAACTGTTAACATCGTTAACATGAATACAATCTATGAAAGTGCATCTGTGAATCTGTATTTTTTGCATTGTGTGAGTGTTTCAATGCAGTGAATAATGTGGTAGAGCACTCTGTAACGCACTACATTCATGATAATTCGCAGGATCAGCTGTTCGTTATTTAGTTCTAGCGATAGTAAGTATTGTGGGGGAAAATAATCAACATCTATTATAACAAAACCTAGTTAGTAGCGCTAAACACTATGGCAGCGCACAGTAATGTGAATTACACTCGGGCGGTCAACATAATTAACTATTGTAGTAGTCATAGCAGGGAATGTACACCGGTCACTGGTTGAACGGCGGCATCGGAAGCGTGCGCGTAACAACGAGTGTTAGCTCAAGTCTAAAGCATCTATTGGTCTTTAAGAAACCCGTTCTTACGCACGAACCCGTATGAAAAAACAACGTTCTTACCAACGTAGCTATTTAAAAAAAAACACCCCATCAACGTTCAAACTGTAACAGTTCCACGGCGTATCTGCGGCTGCTGCTACAGGTAATTATGATTTCCGTATTTTCTCTCGCGCGGTAACTTACTTATTATTGTACTAGTATGTCACGCGACATAACGTAGATGTATCCGCAGGACGCTATTAGTTCGTAACGTTGTCCAATACTTACGGTGAGCTGTACGGTGACGGGAACCGGTAAGTGGTCTGTCTGTAACCGAATATCTATTCATGTTATATGGAGTTGGTTGTCGAGGTGTAAATTGTATGCGCGATGTATATAATGTAAGTCAGCGTTTGCCACATCGTATCTGCGGCTGCTGCTATAGATTGAATTGAGACCGTGCAAATGGAACATCGCAAGAGCTAACCACCCCAGCGAACAGCTACTGCACAATACAACACTAACACTCATGATGCGAACATCACAACGCCGAAGAATAAGTCATACCTTACAGATATTTCTTTCAGATTTTCAAACTTCGCATCAGCATATTTTTAACCGTTTTATCTCGTAAGAGTTTGATGATGCCATTATACTCCCCTTCGTCGCTCTCTTTCATGCTGAGGGAAAAAACACAATGCAAATTGTTTTTTTAATTTAGACAAAATATCCATCTGAGATAGTTTGTGGCATAGTCAGTTGTTTGTCAATGCGACATTGTTTATTTACAGCTCACTCATACTTGCTAGTCGTACAATAATAACTCAAGCGGGGGAAGATTTTCAGCACCAGCTACGGCCATGCGTGCACAACACCAGCGCCTGCACACATTCTCTCTAGCTACGATGCTCTTACTCTGACAGCTTAGCTTCACACAACACACACACACACGCACGCACGCGGCGCGCACGCACGCACGCACGCACGCACGCAGCACACACACACACACACACACACCACCGTCATCGCTTCTCCATGCAGACTTAACGCAACATAATAACACCTTCTTGGTTAGCCTGGTTGTAACTCCAACACAATTAACATGAACACGAACATGTCACGAGTACATGAATAGAAACATCTACCTTGTACTCTAGAAGATATCTATACAATGTATATACATACAATACATATAGATATAATTATAAATACATTGTGTAGATAAATATAAATACATTGTATAGATATATTCAGGACATACTGGGTATCAGAAACCGACATGGGGGTGTTGGTCAGTAAACCAACTTGTCCTAAGTTGAAATGTCCGCGGGTGCTGACCGCATACCTATAGCATAAACCGTTCATTGCACCACGACCAGTGAACAACGCGCATAGCATAGGCTGAATGTTTACTGCTGTTAAAGTGTTAAGTGCCCATGCACGCACGATTCGACATTTCGCTAAACTACGCGCGACGGAGACGTTTAGAGGTCAGGTCCACGTGCGACTCATCAGCGCATGCGCGAGGTCATTGCGACGCAATAGCGTAAACATTGGGATGTCGGGCGCTTGGGTGAAGGGAAAGCATGGATGGGAGAACACTATCATCTCTACATAACTGCAGCTACTATACCCACCACACTTACACCGATTTGCAACTGGGCAGAACACATTAGCGGTAAAAAAATTATAAGTTTCTGCTTTAAATATATTGGAATTATATTTTGTAATTCAACTGATATGTTCAAAGAAATACAGAAATGTGTAAAGACTGCGTCAAATAGCGATTTACATACGAATAATATTATATTATATAGCACAAAACACAAAAATCGATGTGCGATGCTCGCTATATACGAATATATGATTTCACACTGTTCAGTTACACGCACAAGTATTCCCAACAGTGAATTGCATTATGACTGTATATTATACACTTCGATATATAAAGACTTATACGTTCGCGTATTTATGTGACGTCACACATACAAAATTCACACTCAATACTGGACAGGTCACGTACATGACGCAGCAACCAATTATGAAATATCTCCGAGTTGTAGTGACGTCACGAGCGTGACGTCACGAGAGCGCCCAGTGAATAGTGAAGCAAGCAGTAGAAACACGGACCGAGCCAGGTATAGCATGGTAGACGTTCCCCCCATAAGCAAACGTTCCCTTGTGCATTGCGCATGCGCACGAACAGGTCTAGAACGGCACACAGGGATTTTACCTTTATTGCCCATGTTGTCTAATATATAGTTTTTGGGTAAGTGGTTGTCATAAAGAGATGGCTACCATGCTACACTGGCGCCTGAACGCTAGGTTATATAAAGCCGCGTGTAGGCACGTAGTGTGTGGAGCGAAAAATAGACAAGATAGATAGATAGATGGATAGATAGACAGATAGATAGATAGATACATAGATAGATAGACAGACAGACAGACAGATAGATAGATAGATAGATAGATAGATAGATAGATAGATAGATAGATAGATAGATAGACGCCCGAACATGCGGAGGACTAGATCAGGCAGTTCACCTCACTCGCACACGGAAAAAGGGCACTTTAATGTACACAGCGATTATTTATTTCATTTTGATCACGATATCACGTTTTACATGCCACAGCGACCTTCGCAGCGACCTACAATACCACCGATCGACCGCAAGCGTGCCGCATATCGAAAGCCTGTTGTCTGTTAAACACAGTTGTGGTGTAGTTTTAGGGTATCTGTGACTTACGGGGAGCACGAACGTGCACTCACACCACGCATCGCACCACGCCATTAGTAACACAACCTGGCGAACGTAATACAGAATTATGCGGTGGCATGTCACGCGGTGGCATAGCAATATCACACAGTGACGTAGCCATGTCATGCGGTGACGTGTCACGTGGTGGCATAGCCATGTCATGCGGTGGCGCGTCACGCAGTGACGTAGCCATGTCATGCGGTGGTGTGTCACGCAGTGGCATAGCCATATCACACAGTGACGTAGCCATGTCACGCGGTGATATGTCACGCGGTGGCATAAGCAATATCACACAGTGAACGTAGCCGTGTCACGCGGTGATATCACGCGGTGGCATAGCCATATCACACAGTGACGTAGCCGTGTCACGCGGTGATATGTCACAAGGTGACGTGTCACGCGGTGGCATAGCGATATCACACGCAGTGACGTAGCCGTGTCACGCGGTGGCGTGTCACGCGTGGGGTGTCACGCGGTGATATGTCACGCGGTGATGAGCGATATCACACAGTGACGTAGCCGTGTCACGCGGGTGGCGTGTCACGCGGTGACGTAGCGATATCACACAGTGACGTAGCCGTGTCACGCGGTGGTGTGCCACGCGTGGGTGTCACGCGGTGATATGTCACGCGGTGCATAGCGATATCACACAGTGACGTAGCCGTGTCACGCCGGTGGCGTGTTCACGCGTGACGTAGCCGTGTCACGCGTATATGTCACGCGGTGGCATAGCGGATATCACACCAGTGACGTAGCCCGTGTCACGCGGTGGCGTGTCACGCGGTGACGTAGCCGTGTCAGCGGTGATATGTCACAAGGTGACGTGTCACGCGGCTGGCATAGCTATATCACACAGTGACGTAGCCGTGTCACGCGGGTGGCGTGTCACGCGGTTGACGTAGCCGGTCACGCGGTATATGTCACAAGGTGACGTGTCACGCGTGGCATAGCTATATCACACAGTGACGTAGCCGTGTCACGCGGTGGCGTGTCACGCGGTGACAGTAGCCGTGTCACGCGGGTGATATGTCAAAGGTGACGTGTCACGCGGTGGCATAGCTATATCACACAGTGACGTAGCCGTGTCACGCGGTGGTGTTCACATGGTGTTGTAGAAGACGCTGGCGACTGAGCCGTGTCAGCGGGTGCGTGCGTCCCTGCGGGTGCGTCCGCACGGATCTCCACACCGGATGCTTCCTCGCGGCGAACAGCGCGTTGAACTTACCTCTCCGCGCTCACACGCGGCTTTCTCGCCGCCAGCCGATCGACCGCCTAGAGGGCGCCGGCGTGCTGTCGAAGATCGCGCAGCGTGCGCGACGCTGTCCGTCCGACACTTCGCGTCGAACGGGTACGTCTTGCGATATCTTGTGCGTGTTCGCCGCCCGCTCCTCGTCTCGCCGCCCCGCGCCAGCAGGGCGGCACCAGCAGAGGCGGCGGAGGGCCGAAGCAAGGTGGCCGCTGCGGCGGTCACGGCCCGGAGCAGACCGAGCGGCGAACGTCCGATCGTGCCTGCTTGATGCACTTCACAGCCGCCTTGCTTTTCCCCGGCGCCCCCGCCGTTGTCGGCTGCGGTGGCGCCACCTGGGTGTGGTTGCTTCGCTGCGGACGACGCTTCGGCCGCGCCGCGCGCCTGTCTACGACCGTGCGCCTTTTGATTCGTCGCGATGCGGTGCGTCCGTCGTCGCGGAGGATTGCGTGGGATTCTTTGAAGCTGAGTGTGTGGATGCGGTTGCCGTGGCGACACGCGAGCTCACTGCATTCAGCTGCTTCGTTCGCGGCGCGCCATTAATGCTTTACGTTTTGGCGCGCCCGATGCGGTGGCTGCACCTGCTGGTGCACTACATTGTTTTTGGTTTGAGACAGTACTGAGGCGCCACCTGCGGGCGCGCTGCTGCGCTTTGGGATCAAGCTGGGTACTGTGCTGCCATCTGCTGCAATACTACTGTGCTTCGGGTCTGAGCCAGATAGTGTGCTGCCACCTGGTGGTGCACTACTGCGTTTTATAGTTTGAACCCAATATGGTGTTGCCATCTGCTGGCACGCCACTGGTTTCGAGCCGATACTGTGCTGCACCTGGTGGTGCACTGCTGCCGCTTCGGGTTTGAGCCGGGTAAATGTGCTGCATCTGGAGGAGAGGCACTGCGCTTTACGGTTGAGCCAGGAACTGAGGCGCCATCTGGTGGGGGCATCGATTTTTCGATTTTGAATTTCCAACTGTGCTGTGACATTTCGATTGGCCGAGTGATCTTGCGAACGTTGCCTGATGAATGCACAGAGCAGAGACAATGAATTAACTCATGGCTGAGAATAACGCACTCATCACAAACCTTAGATTACAAATAAGTTAAATATGTCTTACTTCAACTAAAAGCCTGAATGTGGGCGAATAATGTGGCACGTTGACATCACGTAATTGCTAAATTGACCACAAACAGAGACTTGTCACTCTCTGAGTGAATTTACAATCAAATTCGTCAACGGGATCCAACTTCTCTGCCACTGTTTCCACACGCTGAGGGAATGAGAGTGTGAACATGAGATGTGTAGACGAACTCACCCAATACCGCAGCATGCTTCCTCGTGAATGGGAGAAGCAGGACCAGCCCGCTCCAAGCTCCGTCCGATCTCTCTAATGAGACTTAACGTGACCTGTCCATACCGACTACCAGAGTCAGCTTGCCCTTAACTCAAATTCTCAGAACCTGTGAACCAAGAAGGCTAATGATTATCAAACATTTCCAACATACAATTTGATATATGATTGTATAAGTATGCGTGTATAAATGCTTTCCTTTCATCAGATATGTAAACTATGTTTAGTGTATGGCACAAGAAAACGTGAGAGAAGGTGGCGATGACGGATTTGATATGATTGATGAGTTGATATATGGTGTCAAGATAGATGGTATGAGTAAAATAAAACGTAAACATTGAATAATAGCTCGAGTGGATGGATATGTCAAGTATAAAGAGTGTAGAACGGATCGTCGTGCG